CCATTAAAAAGCAACAGAGGGTCTTGTGGCACCTTTAACACTAACAGAAGTATTGGGAGCATAAGCTTTCGTGGGTAAGAACCTCACTTCTTCAGATGCAGAAGCTGCTCCATATTCCTGACTTGCATCTGAAGAAGTGAGGTTCTTACCCACAAAAGCTTATGCTCCCAATACTTCTGTTAGTCTTAAAGGTGCCACAGGACCCTCTGTTGCTTTTTACAGATTCAGACTAACATGGCTACCCCCTGATACTTGACAATATTCCCATTGTTATTACTGCTTGCTGTGTGCTCCACAATATCTGTGAGAGTAAGGAAGAGACGTTTATGGCGGGGTGGGAGGTTGAGGCAAATCGCCTGGCCACTGATTACGCACAGCCAGACACCAGGGCGGTTAGAAGAGCACAGCAGGGCGCACTGTGCATCAGAGAAGCTTTGAAAACCAGTTTCATGACTGGCCAGGCTATGGTGTGAAAGTTCTGTTTGTTTCTCCTTGATGAAAACCTGCCCCCTTGGTTCACTCTACTTCCCTGTAAGCCAATCGCCCTCCCCTCCCCCCTTTTAGCTCCGTTTGCAGAGGCAATAAAGTCATTGTTGTTTCAAATTCATTCATTCTTTATTAATTTGTCACACAAATGGGGGGATAACTGCCAAGGTAGCCCGGGAGGGGTGGGGGAAGACGGAAGCACAGGGGTGGGGTAGTTGTAGGGGCACCCCCTAGAATGGCATGCAGCTCATCATAGAAGCGACATGTCTGAGGCTCTGACCCGGAGCGGCCATTTGCCTCTCTGGTTCTTTGGTAGGCTTCACGCGGCTTGCCTGAGCTTCTTAAGTTTCACATGGCACTGCTGCGGGTCCCTGTTGTAGCCTCTGTCCTTCATGCCCTTGGAGACTTTTTTTCAAATATTCCAGCATTTCGTCTTTTGGAATGGAGTTCTGATGGCACGGATTCGTCTCCCCATAAAGTGATCAGATCCAGTACCTCCTGTTTGGTCCATGCTGGAGCTCTTTTGCGATTCTGGGACTCCATGGTCACCTGTGCTGATGAGCTCTGCATGGTCACCTGTGCTGATCAGCTTGCCACGCTGGCCAAACAGGAAATGAAATTCAAAAGTTTGCGGGGCTTTTCCTGTCTACCTGGCTAGTGCATCTGAGTTGAGAGTGCTGTCCAGAGCAGTCACAATGGAGCACTCTGGGATAGTTCCCGGAGGCCAATTCCATCGAATTGTGTCCACGCTACCCCAAATTTGACCCAGCAGGGTCGATTTCAGCGCTAATCCCCTTGTCGGGGAGGAGTACAGAAATCGATTTTAAGAGCCCTTTAAGTTGACAAAAATGGCTTTGTCGTGTGGACGGGTGCAGGGTTAAATCGATCTAACGCTGCTAAATTCGACCTAAACTCTTAATGTAGACCAGGGCTAAGAGAGTGAGGAGGAAAAGCCCTTTCCAGGTTGGACGGACTGCCTACATACAGTGCCGCACAATTATTGTGTACTCTGGTGTGCAAGGCAGCTGTCTAGCTTATAGCATGCAGCCTCCGTGTGTAATTTGTGCAAAAATGGCCTTGGATCTTTAGTGAAAATTCAGAGCGAACAGTGCCTGGTTTTAAGTTTACATCCAAAACATCCACATACAGTTTACTGTGTGGAACTTCATTGTCTGCCTTGGGAAGCTAAAGGGTTGAATTGACCCTGTAAGAATTTTAAACTGGTCTACCAGGCAGTCTAGGAATTCCAGACTTGATGGTTAGACGACTAAGCCAATCTTGCCAGCAGATGACTTGTAGCTGATAACTCATCCATGCACCTTTGCGAGACTGTAGTAAATCTATAATCTGAGATCTTCTGTTGCTCCTTGAAAGAAAAGGCTGACCTTGTAGTCCCAGGTGGAATTGTAATCCTCATAACAGTAAGTGTGCAAGACTCTTCTAGCAGTTATTTGGCCTTACACAGCTTTTTATGCAGCTCAGCATCTACTTTAACTCTTGACTAGCCCAGCAAAAGTGAAAAATGGAATGTGTTTCTTTGGGCAAAGACACACAAACAGCAGAGCTTTGTTAGACGTATATTAGAGAGTCTCTGCAACTGTATCTTTCGCTTCAGTGTTTCTGTATTCTGGAATTATACCCCTGTGCACGTTCTACATTAGGCCTGTTATAGCTGGCTCACTTGCTACTTGGCTGCAAACTGTGAATTTGGATTGAAAAGTTTCATGCCCGGTTTGTTGGGGAGAAGTGGGAGGAGAGAGAGCATTAACTTTGTAACTGCTGGAAGTGCTTTTGTGATGGTTGCATTACTGTGGTATGCTACTGCTCTGTTAAAAGGGTAAGGAATGAACTAAGCCTAGAGAGACTAACAATGGGGAGGGGACAGAACAAAAGTTAAGTGGACACATAGGGACTTACCTCTAAGCTGCTCCATATTCCTGAGCACGCATTGTAAGTGAGTGCTATCAAGGCTTTGCTTTGACTTGACTTAGGCCTGGTCTACACTACAGCGTTAGGTTGACATCAGGCAGCTTACGTGGACCTAACTCTGTAAGCATCTACAGTAAAATGTAGCTCCTACTAATACAAGTAGCACAGTACATTAACTTAATAACTCCATCTCCGCTAGAGGCGTAGCACTTAGGTCAATGTAGTTAGGGCGCCCCATTGTCCATGTAGGCACTGTGTTACTTATATTGCCTGTTGGCTGTCAGCCCAGCAAGGGGCTCACAGCTGGAGTCTCCGCCTACTCCCCAGGAGTGGGATTCCAGCTGTCACTGCCCACATGGTTAAGTCAGCAGAAGCTCCTGGTGAGGGCGCACACCATTGACAGAAGGAGCAAGGTGTGGACGTGAACCATCGCTTTAATAACTGCAGCGGCTATATGTTGACTTAACATGTCGACTTAATACTGTAGGGTAGACATGCCCTTATCATTACCATGTTGATGTGAAATCCTAGATGGGTCTTCTATCAAAGGTGCATGGCCAAATTCTGCTGTTTTACTTGTTTCGATTCCAGCTATGCTATCTGTAAAAATTTTTTTTACAAAGCTAAAATGTTTCTAAACCCTAGGAGGGTAACAGTAAATGAAATCATGGGGCAGATGCTGGAGTCATTTGCAGAGATCAGTCCAAAAACCGCAGATAAAACCAGGAAAATCAACTCCGTTTCTCCTGGATTTTTGCCTTTTTGTTCTCCAGATGTCACTGTGGTCTGCTAGTCTCAGTACCCTGTGAATTAGGTTTTAGTAATTTCCTCCTCCTCCTCGTTCCAGAGCTTATTGATCAGTATCAGAAGGCCCCTTACAATAGATATGGTAGGTTCCTGATGGGGGAGTCTCTTCTGAGAGAGGGGTGCAAGCTTCACAGTACAACTTCAACAAATAAAAAAGTGAGATCCTGCAAGAAGAGGAGAGAAAGAACTAGTGAAGGAGAAAAGAGGCTCCAGGGAAAGCAGTAAGAAGTTACACAATTAGTCTGTACCTTCAAAGGCATTCTTAAATACTAAACCTACACATGGACTCTTGATACACCATTTGCTGTGCATATGCTTGTTATACATACATATATTGATGATCACTGTTTGTCATCTGGTTGGCTAATTAAGCACTCAAACTGAAGAGTCAGTATAACTTCACAACTTAGAAATTTTTTGGAAGCTCATTGAAGTGAGGCGTGAAGGTTGTTGGTTTATGGGTGTTTTTTTGGGGAGGGGAGCCCAGTTACATCTAATGGGGAACCGCTTCTGTTAGGTTCCTTGCTAGCAGTGAATTGTTCATTAATTACACTGAAACTGGCAAGGCTATATATTTGCTTTGGAAAGACCCAGGTGTATTCCAGACCGAGAAGAGAGTTTCGCTCTTTAGGATGTGGTGCTGGATTGGAGAAAGAGACTGAATGTGCTTGAACACTCTCAGTGGTTGTATGAAGAATAAATAACTTCTCAGGAGTGACATTAACTATCACAACCTAAAAGGCAGCAGTTGTTGAATATCCTGGCTGGAAAGGAGAGGTCATGCAATTAAAGTGAAGAATTTACAGAATTTGAAGGGGTGGGAGGGCAGGATAGTGACACAAATGTAGAGTGAATTAGGGAAACACTATTTGGATTAGAGCAGGAGCATATGTCTTTTGGGTATGTGTTGCAGGAAGATCTTGAGGGAGCTGCAGGTGGGTTGTTCATCATTGTCTTCTGATATCCTGAGGAAACATTGGGGCCAATTTTTGACACTTAGTGACACTGGTGATCTGCAATGACACTGGGGGCTAGGTAAAACTTATTGGAGAGGGATGTGGAATCAAAACTAAATTTACTAGCAAGTCTGCAGGGTTTTTTTTTTCTTGTTCTGGATTTACTACTAACTTTATTTCAGTGTGTAAAATCTGAGAGAACCTGATTTTGGCCCCTACATTATTTAGATTAGAGTTAAATTCCCTACCCTCTCCCAAAGCTTCTTGAAACCCCTTCCCACAGGGCTGGCTAGCATCAAACCTGGGCTGTTGCCGCTGCAGGTTCACAGCTGACATACACTGAAAGTGTAAAACTCATAGTAAGCACTTCAGTGGATATCTGAAGGCTTTTTAAGATTCACCGCCACAGTGAAAGAGCTACTTGGACTTCTGTTGCCAGAAACTCCTCAACCATCTCCAGTCTGTGTTGAATGGAAACGTGGCTTTGTTCAGAATCTACATATGTTAACGATGTTCAAATTAGAAATGTGCTTCAGTTCAGTTTGTTGAAGAAATTATCAACTTCTACTTTCAACCTGAATATTTGAGTTCTAAAACAGGCTAGTATCTAAAAAAATGCAATTTTACTATTTCACCTGAAAAAATTAATCCCGATTCCAAATGCACATCCCCCCTCAAAAAAATTATCCAAGAAATAATTAAGTTAAATGGATGCCCAGAAACCTGCCTTACCTATGCTATGCCTCCTGTTGATGAGCTCAACATCATATTCATTAAGGGAGAATGATTAATCACTTCTGTTTGTTAATTGAACTGTTTTAGCAGGTTTTGTAGTGCTTCCCTGAGCATGAGTTCAGAATGAAGCGGCGATTGGATGAGCAGGAGTCACCGGTGTACACGTCACAGCAGAGACGTATCACCAGCAGCACAGAAGCTTTCCAACACCAGCACCGTATGCTTGCTCCAGCACCTCCTGTATATGAGGCGGTTTCGGAGACCATGCAGTCTGCCACTGGAATTCAGTACTCTGTAACTCCCAGCTACCAGGTATGCTCGCTTGTTACTTAGTGTGAACCAGAGAATAATTCAGTCTCGTTGTGTGAACAGCAATAACCATACAATGCAAGATGCATGTTTAATAATCTATGGTGGGGTTCTACATGTGACAGCAATTATTATTTTGCCAACAATGGCCTCTTAAGTTAAGACCCCAATTTAACAGTATATTTAAGCACGTGCCTGATTTTAAGCACTTGCTTTAAGTCCCATGATTTTAGTGGCAACTGATCACAAGCTCAAAATTAGGTATGTGCTTAAGTACCTTGTTGAGTTAAGGCCTAAATTGGGGACCCTTGTACCCTGATCTCTGAATTATCTCCTATTCAGAAGTAGGCCAGTAAGTGGTTTTTTTTTTCTCCCCCCTTTTAAGTAGGATAGTTTGTCCTGCAGCCAGTCAACCTTTGCTGTGGTCTTTTCAGCTCATAAACTCAGCAAGACTGGATTGGATCAATACTTGGATGGGAGACTTCCAGGGAAAATCCAGGTGCAGCGGGAAGTGATGCGGGTGATTGATTAGGTGGCATTCTTCCCTTTGAGCTTCTGACTTTTTGTGCTTATTAAAGGAACATTGCCAATTTGAACATTGCGTCATCTGAAAAATTTGTACTTATTAATCTAATGTAAGATTTCTATAAATGAAACACTAGAGAGAAATATTTGTCCTCTATTTTTCCCAGTGTTTTAGTTTTTGCCAGCACTCTATATATCATCCTTGCCTTGGTTTTGTTGCTGGTCAGTTGCACTTCCCATCTCATGCACTGGCCTGGGGACCAACTCATGTGCGCACGCTACCCCAGGCTCTCCAAAAGGATGTTCACTACTAACCGCAACAGCAGGCAGATAGCAGGCAGGCATGTACTCACAGATGGGGAGAGAGGGCTGGAGAGTTGGCCCAGGTAAGTTTGATGTTGCTCTCAGGCCTTCTTAAGAGTCTTCTAAATGTGAATAGCGGAGCAAAAAAACCTTGCTTGTTTTTTGTTTTGTTTTGAAGCAGGTGCTCTATTAAAAAAACTGGATTCTTTTAAATCAAATTTTTTAAAAATTCAAGCTAAGTATTCATTAAAGAATTTTTAAATTGAACTCTTTTTGCTCCTTTATGATGTATAAAGGAGGCTGAAAAGTGCATGTTCAAAAGAGTTTGTTCTGCTTGTCTTTCTGGATTTTTCTAAAGGTAAGCATCAAGTTTGGGTCTTCCCAGGTTCTTGCTGGAGGATCTCTGGGGGGTCCAAAGGATATTAATTGAGAGTTCTAACACCTAAATTGAAGAGCTGTGGTGTTGAATCTTTAACAAAGGCTTTCTTTATCTAAAATGTTCGTCATTGTGCCATTAAATAGGTGGTAGTAGCGTTAAACTCTGGTTTTGTTTCTGTCTCATAGAATCAGAGTTTAAGGGTAAAAGGGACCACCTGATCATCTAGTCTGACCTTCTGTATCTCACAGGCCGCCAGCCCTACCCAGCTCATGCACACTAAACACAACAACTGAAATGAGACCAAAGTATTGCAGCCCATAGGAGACTAGAACGTTATGAGCCATGGGCAGAGAATAGGAAGGACCCAGGTGCACTGATGCCTGTGGCCCCCAAGATGGCAGGGAAATGCTTAAGTGAGAGAGACCCAGAAAATGCTGGCAAGTGACCCGCACTTACACGCTGCAGAGGAAGGTGAAAACCCCCCAAGGTCACTGCCATTCTTTCCTGACCCCACATTTGGTGATCAGATGGACCTTGAGCATGTGAACAAGAATCAGCCAGCCAAGTAGCTGAGAGAGAATGCTTAGTGCCACCTTAGAGCCCTGGCCACCCCTCAAATGTCCTATCTCCAGCTATGGCCATCTCTGATGTGTCAAAGGAAAAAGATTAAAAAAAAAACAAAAACCCTGCCAGAATACATGCAGGGAGGAGAAGCCTTCCTGTCCCCTGCCAGTGGCTGGCTGAAACCCTGAAGTGTGAGCTTTTTAGGAATGTAAAACATAAACCAAATGTGAGCCTTGGGGCTGTTGAGCCCTGCCCCCACCATCAAAAGTAACCCCGATCATACAATTGCACTGATAAATTTGTCCAAATCTGCCTTAAAATCCCTTCCCCTTCTCTACTTTCGCTCCAGGCTCTTGTGGTGGTGTCACGTCACTAGTTCTCCAGTCACTAGAGAGCTTTCCAGGCTGGACCAGACCTGAATTTCTATCATAAACCCAGAGAGGGTTCCTGCCTTTTGTACTTCTGAAAAAAATCTTCAAGACCTCTGTAAATCAGAGAAAATGAAAGAAACCTTAACCTTTTTTTTTTTTCCTTTTTGCAGGTCATGGTTAAAGAGCCCAAAATGCATTTAATGAATAAGGCTGTTAGTCTTGGTGCTATGGTGAAAGTACAGACTTGGTGACATTCTGCCAATTCAAAATTGTACAAAACAGCTACAGTGCACAGCTGCCCAAGGAATTGTATAAAGGTTATTATACCCATTTTACAGATAGCCACCAGATGAAATTCATGCAGCATCTGTGCATTCAGGAATGGATAGGACTCGAGGCTGCTTTTAAACTAGCTTCACAATAAGCAGCAGTTGTTTCACCACAGAAGTGTTGCATTTCAGTACTGTGAGGGTTGCGCCTTGATGAAAGGTGCTATGTAAGTCCATGTCTGCACTGAAGCATGAATTGTTAGTGTACACAGTTTTTCCAGTAGGGAATTTCCAAGAGCAGATAAAGCCCTAACCCCCAGCTGCTTTCTTATATTCCTTCCCCAGGTGTCGGCTGTGCCACAGAGCTCAGGCAGTCATGGCCCTGCTATAGCGACCGTCCATAGTGGACATCATCACACTACACCAGTGCAGCCTCATGGAAGCCAGGTGGTGCAGAGTCATGCTCACCCGACCCCTCCAGCAGCACCAGTGCAGGGGCAGCAGCAGTTCCAGAGGCTTAAGGTAACACCAAGCTCGAACTGATCATTCTGTAAAATGGGTGTTTTGAAGGGCAGCATCTGCTTAATTGGTGGTAGTTTCATCTGCACAGGTATCTGATCTAACTGGATGAGATATCTCAGGTAATAGTTGCTGATTTTGTAATAATGTTTTTGTAATGAAGGACGGTTAGGCTAGATATATGGACGGCTTGGTGGGAGTTGGAACTTGGCCTTTGGCATGGTGTTCAGAACAAACCCAAGGAGTCTGGCATAAGCATTATGTGTAGGTAATACAGAGTCCCATGTAGTCTGTGCTGTACCAATGTTCATCAGCAAAACCCCTGACTTCTGTGACCTGGTAAACTCTGTGGTGAGCTTCAGTTTTTGTAGCAGCCTAAATGAATGGAAAAATCACATTTTATTGAATGTCAAAAGTAAGTATTGAAGTACTGTATATTCATTCAATAAAATCTTTAAAAGCTATCGACTTCTGTTTGTGTTATGCTGCTGCAGAGCAGGCAGCAGTTTCTGAGGCTTGTGCCAGAAGTTTGGGGGTAATCTGGGGCGCTTGGCTATTGCATCCGTAATACCAGTCTCCCAGAAGAGCCAGTTGGACTGCCTGTTAAAAGCTTTCCTGATGAGCCACAGAAGCCTGGAATTCATGACTTGAAAGCTGGCCCTATACACTGTTAATATTTCAGTATGAAGAAGGGGATTTAGACTGTGTAAGCCAAAGACTCCCCCTCCTGCCTCCGTTAATGCATTTTCTTTTCAAATGCTGTAGCAAAATAATGAAATCTGGAATTCTAATCAACAGGTTTGGGGAGGAAAGAAGGTGGGCGAAGGAGCTCTGATGCAGAGCCCATATGTGAAAGGGTTAAACTACCACAGCATCTAGAGGCTTTTCTGAATGTTTCCTGAAAATGTTGCTTTGCGTGGGTGGGTGTTGCGGAGATGCTTGGGAGTGAGCAAGGCTCTGTTCTTACACTGTTAGCAATAAATTCCCTTAACCCCCTTCCCCCACCAAAAATAACACATTGAAGTGGTTAAATTCAGATCAGCTGTAGTAAGCACACATGTATATGATTCTATGTCTATTTCTTACTCCTCTCTTTTGGAAAACATATTGAAGTGTCTTTCGTTGCTCCCACATTTTAAAACAGTAAACAGAGCAATAGAGTGCTTACTTTCCAGGGGACCTACTTTCCCAGAGTCTGCTCCTTTTGAAATCAATGGCAAAACCTCTGATGGTTCAAGATCAGACTTTAGATGAATATGGATTAAAAACTCTTTTAATTAGCTTTTTAATTAACTTCAGTATTTCCCATACAATAAAACAGGAACAACTCCGTGACAGTCTCAGATATTATTCCAGAAGGCTTCTATTGCATTTAGAGCTTTCATACCTCCAGACAATCTGGTAATGAGCAAAGTGGGGGATGGATGGCTCCTGAGGTATATTCATTTGTAGCCTGACTTTCAGACATAAGAAGCAGCCAGAATTCTGACTGAGGGCTCTGGTTGCTCAGACAGCACCTCCTGAAAATCAGACGTAGGGATATGGACCATTCATAAATAGAAACTAAGTTTCCACATGGCATTCTTGCTGTTTGAGATACATCAGAGTTAACATCCACAGTTAGCGTTTCCAAATCCTTATGAGCCAAATTGAAATGTCTGGCTCTTGAGTTTAAAAAAAAAAAGAAATGCAAGTGTGTACCTGGCAGCACTAATACATGGAATTTCCTCCTAGGGTCCCCCACCATGTTTATTTTTAGACTTCAATAATAATTTCCACAAAAAATGTAGGAAAAATAATGCGTGCCCAGCTCTGAGTTTTTACTAACAATCACCCCAGCCACTGATGAAATGGTTACTTTGAAGTGTGTTCACTGGAACTATTTCTGCTGATGCATACATTGCATCATCACAGAAAAATACCAGCAATAGAATGTGGCTGTGTCAAATGGTCAGGTAGCACTGATTATAAACTAGCCAATGTTATGATCAGGCTGCTACCTAATTGCTTACTCTTAGTGGTTTACTGTAGGCAGGTGCCTTTCCAAATGTGTGTTCATGCGCAAGAGTGGTCACCCACTTTTCTCTGAGGTATATTTTTAGCTCCTTTATTTTGCTCACAGGTGGAGGATGCGCTGTCCTACCTTGACCAGGTGAAGCTGCAGTTTGGTAGTCAGCCTCAGGTCTACAATGATTTCCTGGACATAATGAAGGAATTTAAGTCTCAAAGGTAACAACTTATGTTCTGCTTTCCTCATATTAGACAGAGAATGTGCGTGCTCGCGCATGTGTGTTTGGGACATGTGGGCAAGAGATGGTTAGCACTTTCCACTTTGGAGATTATCCATCTCTTGGTAATCTCTAGAGTCCTCTTCCTCCTGTTTGCTCCATCCATGCTGCTGGTTGGAAAGTGCTGGGAAGTGCAGTGTTGATCAGTATTTTCCATTCTGGAGCCCAAGCAGGTCTCTTCATTTGTGCCAAATCTCTGCTTAGAGAGTGGGAGTTCACAGGTTCAGTCCTTACAGCTGATTCATTTGGTTGTCTGCTTGCCAGTAGCTGCAGAGCGGTCAGACTTGTGACCAAATCACATTGAGTTAGTGTTATTTGGACAAATAAAATTGCTCTTACGTTACAGTCAAGTTAAATAATACATGAGTAAGAATCAGTTTTGTCTGGTTTCCTGGCTTTGTCGCAGGCTAACGATGGCTAGATAAAAATTTGAGTGGCAAGTAAAGTTCCTTTGTGTGGGGTTCCTGGTTTGCCAATGAGAGCCCTTTGCAAGATCTGTGACCTTTCTATCTTCTTGTTTCTTTTCAGTATTGACACTCCAGGGGTGATCAGCCGCGTGTCTCAGCTCTTCAAAGGTCACCCTGACTTGATCATGGGCTTCAATACCTTCTTGCCACCTGGCTACAAAATTGAGGTGCAGACTAACGATATGGTGAATGTGACAACACCAGGGCAGGTTCACCAGATCCCCACACATGGCCTCCAGCCGCAGCCACAGCCGCAGCCTCAGCATCAATCCCAGCCTTCAGCACAGTCAACTCCAACCCCAGCACAGCCTGCACCACAGCCACCACCTGCCAAAATCAGCAAGGTGAGAGACTTTGGATACCACAGGCAGAGTGAAACACCTAGTCCCTCTTCAGAAATGGTAGGGAATTAAAGATTGCAAAAGGCTTAACATTTCATCAAAGGAAATGTAAAAACTGAAATATCTGTAAAATCACTTTTGCAACTTTTTCACATCATGAAAACGACAGTAAACATGTACCAGTTTGGCTCCGCAGCAGCAGCTGTGAGTGTGCATGTGAATGATGGGATGATCACTCATGGAGACCATCTCTGGAGAGAGGTCATACGGTGGTGATACGATATGAGTGTGAAAATAATCAGTCACTGAACTGCCAGCACAATGAAAAGGACCATATGTGAATATAAATGGTTCGACAGAATTGTTCAGGAAATTACTGACTTTGGAGAAGTCTTAGGATGTAAAGTAAATTTTAGATGGAATGTGAAGTGAGGATTTGGTCCAAAACTTCAGAAACTCCTTTTTTTAATTTTAGTTTTGGAGCAGGCAAATTCAGGTATGAAGTGGTGACTCTATTTTTGTTACTGTAGCATCTCAAAACCCTAGTTTGTGCTCCTTGCCTAAATAGTCTCTTTGGCTCCAGCTTAGTTTCCTTTCTTAAAAGCTTGTACTTTAAAACAAAAAAACAAAAAAACCTCACTAATTGGTTTGGAAATATTGCTTTGATTAAAAAATGAATTTGCTATCCAAAATCAATAAATTATTTCAAACCTTTCCATTGGAGTCTACCAAAGGAAATGCAAGCCAACGTTATACACTTTATTTGGGGGAAGAAAAATACCCAGAGTCTCTAGCAAAATGTGGTAGAGACCAATATCTGAGGATGGTCTGGTAGGCCCAGAATAAGTGCCTTTTTTAGTTAGCTCAGCTGCACTTGATATGGAGCCCTGATAAAGCATCAGATAAGTATTGAACAGCGAGGACTTCTTGATATTCCCCTACATTATTTTTGTTTTCTGCTAAGAAACAGAAACCTTGATGGAAGGGTTGTCAGCTGTATGAAACTCCCATGTAGAATTTTCCATTGTTATTTGCAGTGTTGTAGCTGTGTTGGTCCCCAGATATGAGAGAAACAAGATGGGTGAAATAATATCTTTTATTGGACCAACTTCTCCTGGTGGAAGAGACAAGCTTTTCAGCTTCACAGAGCTCTCTCATATGACCTGAGGAAGAGAACTCTATGAAGCTTGAAAGCTTGTCCCTTCCATCAACAGAAAGTGGTCCAATAAAAGATATCATCTCACTCACCTTTGTATCTGTCATGTAGAATTTTAACAGTTGGGGTAATTAACCACTGGAACAATTTGCCTTGGGACATGGTGGATTCTTCTTCTCTTGAAGTCTTTTTAATCAAGTTTGGGTGTCTTTCTAAACATGCACTCTAGCTCAACCAGAAATTATGGACTTAATGCAGGAATCACTGGTGAAATCCTATGTCCTGTGTTATGCAGGAAGCCAGACTAGATGACCATAACCTTTCCTTTCTCCAACGCTGGTAGCATGCAGCAGGATTCTCTGACAATTAATAGAACCTCAGAGTGATGAACTAATGGTAGTTCTCTTCTGCCTTTATATAAAAATGACACGCCCAAAATACATGAAGAGAACATTAAGGTTGGTTGGAAAGTCAAGCATTCAAAAGTTAAGAAATCTCAGATTTCAAGTCCCTGCTCCAAAGCGTGGAAGCCCTAGAGCGTCTCAATGAAATTGTTGTAAGCATTTGTTTTAGCATGGGCAAAACATGCTTTTCCTTGATCTCCTTCTCAGAACTAGCTGAACTAAAGTTTATACTGAAACTTTAGCCTGAGGCAGATGCCAGGCATAAGAAACTTGAGCTTGAAGAGTTAGTTTGGCAAAGTTATAAGCAACTGAAAACAAGGTCCTATAATGGGAGGTTTAGGGCAATCTTAGTCTCCAAAATACTGCTTTGATGCATATTGGAAGGCAGTGGAGGGTGAAGTATTTTCAGTTGCATTGAAAATTACTAGCTCCAGGTTGGCTCTAGACCCCTCTGTGATTTTATTGAGCCTCCTACTAAAGGATAGCGACCAAATTTTAAAATCCTAAATTTATTTTCATATTTGTTAGTGTTAGTTTTGTGACTTCTAACTGAATATTGGAAAAGGACAGTATCTTCAGATGCAATTGCCTGGCTTTATGAAGTACAGGATACCTTCATAATGGAGACAATAACTAGCCACCATGGAGCATTTTAAGTCTATGCAGTTTGGTTCCTGTTAATTTGAAAGATGAAGAGACAAAAATGGCTCAGCTAAAATCGAGTTGCTCTGTAATATCAAAATATGTTTCCTCACTACTTGAAAGGTGAGGTCTTTCTCTGTTTTACCAAGCGTGCTTTGTATCAGCTCTTTAGATGATTGTCACATCCTAAGTTAGTTTTCCTTTGTTTTAGTTATATGTATTCATTCAGTACATCCATTAATATTCAGAATCCGTTTTTGAAAATAAAAATAAAATTCCGTCCAGGATCAACCATTAGGAAATTTTCTTGTGTGGGTGAGCTGCTTATTGTGAAGATAGACAACGTTCACTTAGTTTTGTTCCTCTTCCATTTCCATCAGTGTAAAAAAAAATTTGCTGTAACACTCCCAGCTGTGGAGTTAAGAACACCAATGAGAAATGAGCATGCCACAAATCCCAGTGCTAAAACATATGGGTGGGGCTATTTCACTGGGCATTAGTATCATCAAGGTATGTCCAGCCTACTCAGCCTCTCCATTGGTCAAATCAAAGTATCTTGGGTAGACTGAGAGCTTCCATCTCACAGAGGTACCCCGTGCATGATGCTTTGCTGTTGGCATCAGTTGTGGGAACATCTCCTCCCCCCGCTGAGTTATTGTGTGCGACTGATTTTGTTGAGTTCTAATACTTCTTGTTCTCTTCCTAGGATTTGACCTGAATGAAATAAACTACTGCAACGCAAATCTCTAAGACAAAACTAAGTGTCCCTTTTCTTCTCAGCCATCACAATTGCAGGCACATACGCCAGCCAGCCAGCAGACTCCCCCAATTCCTCCATATGCATCACCGCGCTCTCCACCTGTGCAGCCTCATACACCTGTGACAATCTCTCTTGGAACCACACCATCCCTGCAGAACAATCAGCCGGTTGAGTTTAATCATGCCATCAACTATGTCAACAAGATCAAGAATCGGTTCCAGGGACAACCAGACATCTATAAGGCCTTCCTGGAGATCCTCCACACTTATCAGGTTAGTGGAACACTGTATACATGCACTACCCATGCAGGTGCTTTTGAGTATGTATAAATATGTGTGTCATGCCTTACCATAGAAAATTAACTTACACCTGTATTGTGTATTTGAAGGGGCTATGCGGAAGATTGACATACTTGGGGATTTCAAGTAGTAAACAATCAGCTGGGGGTGGGGGGCGGAACTTGTGTATTTCAAACCAGTTTAACTTTGCATGACTTAACAGTGCCAAATCAGCATTTGTCTGTAGTTGCAATTATCTGAAATAGTGGGCAGTATTTTTAAACGCAAATGTATGAACCTGGGACATAGAGGGGTGATGCATATAATGCATCTACATATAGTAATGTGAAGGAGAGAGAACAAGCTATTCGGCATTGGTACCCTGTCAGTTGATGTTTGTCCCCTGAGCATTTGGAGTGACTCTGTTTTCAGAAGAGCTGCCAGCCACCATCTTCAATTTTTCTTTCGGTTGCTGATTTTCCAGTTAGCAATACAGGAGCAACAAACATAAACTCAGCTCAGGGATGAATGTTTTGAGTTGCATTAAGTATTGTTCCCTAGAGAAAGAAAAGCAGAAACTAGGAAAGGCAGCTGTAATGGTTCTTGTTTCCTTTGCTCTCACACATCCCTGTTCCTGTGACAGAAAGAGCAGCGGAATGCCAAGGAGGCAGGTGGTAACTACACACCAGCTTTGACAGAGCAGGAGGTGTATGCACAGGTCGCGCGCCTCTTCAAGAACCAGGAGGATTTACTCTCTGAGTTTGGGCAGTTCCTGCCAGATGCTAACAGCTCTGTGGTGAGTTCAACCCCACTAATTAGTTGGTAGAAAGCTGGCTATGCAAGAAAACTGAGTTCAGAAAAGTACACTGCTTTCCTGTTTGCTAAATGTGTTTTCAAACAGTCTTTCACTGCACATGGGGAAAAGAGGGCAGGGAATGCAGCCTCTGTTGACAAATCTTTAAATGTGACTCCTGTGCCTCAAAGATCTGTTCTAGGACTATAATCACTGCTGTAAAATGCACTGGTCAGCTAGAGCTAAGGTGACGGGGTTTCACATGCACCTTTGCCCCAGCACCAGAAGCTCACATCACTAATAGTCTTGTGGTTTTTTTTTTAAATAAGCTGTTAAGCAAGACAACTGCAGAGAAAGTGGAGTCGGTAAGAAATGACCATGGTGGAACAATCAAGAAACCCCAGCTCAACAACAAGCAACAAAGACCCAACCAAAATGGCTGTCAAATCAGACGGCACTCAGGAACTGGAGCAACCCCACCAGTGAAGGTAAGAACATGCATAGTTCACAGCTTTTCTCGAGGAAGTAATGGTAATAAGTGAAAATTGAGGGCACAGAGTATAATGCACTTTACGTACTTGTTTATATTGAGGCTCACAGTCCAGGTTATGACTAGATTGAGGGTGAAGGAGACCTGCCCAGGCTTCTGGTTAGACCCTTTTAGGTCTGCCTTTAAGTGCAGGATTTAGTACTATCCATACAAACAGGGCTAGAGACTTAGATGCAGCCTGTGTGAGCGTGGCAGTAGTTACCAGTGGAGAAAGAAGAACAGTGCTTGGTTTCTTTTCCTATGTTGCTAGAGAATACACAGGGATATGTTTATTGATTATATTGTTTTATTTAATAAAGCAGCATTTGGAGAGAGTAGATAGGGGGAAGCCTCAGTAAATTTGACCAAGTGACAGGTTGTCTAAAAAGCTTGCAATGCTGTTCTCAAGGCATTTGGGGGAAGTAATAAAGGGGACTAGTAACCGTGTATCGCAGGGGTTGCATCAAATCAAAACTCAGTGCAGGTACATTGGACTCTTGTCTATTCTTCCCATGATAAAGGTAATTTGAGAGTTCTGATGAGTCTGTGTTCTGTTAGCCAGACCTTGCCTTTACAAGCTACCAGAGTTTCTGGGTGGATAAGGCTTTGCAATGAAACAGAAATGGCAAATTTCTCCAGTGATCCCAGACCTCTGCATTTTGCTTTGTAAAGGAAAGGAACAGCATCCATCTCTCTAGTAATTTAATCCCCCTTGCCTCCAGAATGACAGAGCAAATAACAATAACGGTCAGCTTCCAGCAATCCTCTGAGAATGAGATGTGCATCTGTGGGAGGGAGGGATCCTTGAAGACCCTGGGAACAAATAAAAGAAGAGAGCAAAGAAATGCAGAAACTATGGGGAGGTGCAAGATTGGAGTAGGTGGGAGAGATTCTGGCAGAAATCAAAAGGAGTTTGTCTTCATTGTTGTTAAGTACAGAACTAATATATTGAGGTGTATTCTGTGCAATGACTGTTGCAAGTGACTTGATGATTAAACATTATTTGAAGTTTTGCTGTTAGTGAAAAATAAAGCCTCCCCGCCCATCAAATAGGAATGTGGGGAAAGCAATTATGCAAAGTCCAGGGGAAACAAAGAGGGAAGCAAAGTAAATATTTTAATTTTGGGGTACCAGTAGAAACTCAAATATAATTCTCCTCCTAAAAACTTGATGTTGACTGCTCTATTTGAAAGTATAGTACATTCTCGCTATAACAAACCTGTTAAGATCCAAGCCTTTTGTTCGTTAGCAAGGGTTTGTTATAGCAAAAAGACCATCAAAACGAATGGGGGGCTGGGGCTCCGGGCTTTCAGCCCCAAGTGGTGAGGCTGCGACTCTGGATTTCAGCTGCGGGAGAGGGGAGGTGGGGTAGGGGTCCACTCCTTAGTTTCTGCCCTTGGGCTCAACATATGAGGCTGGATACAAATTGTGCAGGCATGTGCAAAATGTGTTTTTTTTTTTTTAAACACAGTACAGTATTGTACTGTACTTAGGCTCCAGGAACCAGGTTCGTGATAGCCAAAGGTTCGTTATAATGAAGGGCATTATAGCAACAGTGTACTGTACATGGGGTGTCAGGGAAGTTGAAACACATGCCCTGGCATGATAGATGTGCAAAACATTGTTATTGCATATTTTAATCCCTCTTTTATGGTTTTACTTTTGCTTTTTGCAGAAGAAACCAAAGCTGCTTGGTTTAAAGGACCAGTCATTGGCAGAAGCCAGCAAACATGGGGTGGGGACAGAATCTCTGTTCTTTGAGAAGGTGAGTGATGAAATTCTGAATAGACAGTTTTGCACATCTGATTCATGCTCAGAGCAAATTGGTTTTCCAATGTGAGTATACACAGCAAAGTCTGTGGCGTTCTCTCCAGAATGAGATTTCTGTCATCTTTTAACTAGGTGTGCCATCAGCTGGTCTTTACATCTGATATATATTCATTTTTAAAAATTCTGTGCATGTCCCTGCCCGTAAAGTCCATCTCTGGCTCTTCAGCTGCCTTTGATCCACAGTTTTGTCCCCTCTGGGCAGGTAGAGTTGGCAGCAGAGCCTAACTGTCAGGGGTTGTGACTGCCAATTCTCATGGAAGACAAAAATCTGCAAGAAAAGGCATCTTTGTTCATAGTTCACATTTATCTCCCGTCACTCCAGGCCCCCTATGCTACTGGTGACATGACTGGCCTACCTTGTTGTGTTGGCACTGTCACTCTTTCCATTTCCTTCCCCTGTCCAACTGCATGAAGTGAGGGAACTTGGCTTAAATGAGTCGGTCGCATTGTAAGCTACATTTTCTCGAGTGGTAACATACCATGTTGTGCAGTTGTTACCTATTTCTTGCCACATCTCCTGGCCACACAGACTAGACTGAGGCAGGTAGGCAGTATGGGATGTCTCCAAGTAGTCCCTTGTCCTCTTCCCTGATGTGTCCACAATTTTCTCTCTCCTCCATTGCATGGAGCATGTAACCCCAGGTAAATGGTCATTTTAACTATATATCCATGTGCTAGTGACACCATCCTGGTCCCTGGGACATGGCACAGTTTTCAGGCCAGGTAGTGGTAACCAAAAGCCCATATGTTGCTTGGAAAACACTGAGGTGTTAACCTGAGTAAATGAAGAAATCTTTGCAGTAGAGTCTGAATCACAATGATAAATAACCTGATGATGCTACTGCTGTATTTGATGTGTAGATGCAAATAGTTTTCATGTGGGAAGGTAATGGTGTTCTAAAGAATCTGATTCAGCTGTGTCTGACTGAGAAGAGGAGGGTTACAAACACCACTTTGTGGTGATAATGCAATCTGAAAAGTCAGTTGTAACTATTGTAGTATGGATTACTATTTGTTAGGCTCCAGTGAATTGTTCTGTTGCCTGGACTTGCAGTTTGCCCTAGTGGGTAGAGGATTACCTGTGTGACGTGTCTGTTTCTAGAAACAGAACAGCAGACAGCTGTTGTAGTCCCTGCTTGCAGTGTTCTGAGTTTTGACTGAGACTCTTCTCAGTGGTCGTCCCATATTTTACTCTTCTCCTTATGGGTGGACACAAACATCTTGATTGCTTACCTCTTTGGAGTGTAGGAGGGTGTCCACTAGGAGAATGGCATCCTTGGATCAGTCGTCATTCTTGCCTCATGGTCTGCGCAAGTGAGAACCAGAGATCCAGTTTAACTTATGTTCTGTTCTATTCTACAAAGGTTCTTATACCTTACCTGTTCACAGTAGTAGTGCATGGGCAGGGGAAATGTATTTAAATGCAATTGCATAAAACTCCCAAGTCTAAAAGAGAGTGTCTGTCTGATTCTGGCTGTGAGTAACCTCATTTGTTCAGGATTGCACCTGAGAGCACAGTATTGAGTCTAGGTTGCACTCATTCTGAACTCTGTATTGACTGTTTTCTTCCTCTTATATATATGTAAGGTCCGCAAGGCTCTGCGTAGCACGGAGGCGTATGAAAATTTTCTTCGCTGCCTGGTTATTTTTAATCAGGAGGTGATCTCCCGGGCTGAGCTTGTGCAGCTAGTTTCTCCATTCTTGGGGTAAGTGGAGGATGGGCAAATCCATTTCTGTATGTGGTCAGAGCTTGGAGGTGGGTGGTGATAGGGGATCTAGTCTGTTTTTGTTCGGGTGCTGGGAAGGAAATGCTGACTTGCATGGCCATTTAAAGAAAGAGAACATTCAATTGGTTCTGTTGCCCAGCATTCCAAAGCTTCAATAGTTTGACTGGGCGTCTGATTTCCTGAGCTACCTGCAGCACAAAGGGTGTACACCAGAGATGGAACATTAGTGTTGACTAGTTTATCTGTGTGCCCTGCTGCTTGGTTAGTTTTTTTCACAAAATAACTGGTAGGGAGTTGCCCTTACAACAGTGAGCTAATACCAGTTCACCTCTGAGATCCAAATATGTCACCTCTGAGGTTCGTGTCACCTCCAGCCCTGCCTGAACACTTTGTATTATGAATGTAGGTTGCAAGGTGCCACATGCTATTAGCAGGCCTATAAGATAAAAGGAACACTAATTGCACTTCGAGATCCTTTATAAGTATTTTATAAATTCAAAGTGCATTAGATTTTAGATTCTTCTCTTTGGCTGTCCTTCATCGAAGCAAAAGAACAGCCATTCTTATTCTGTTTTTTCTTGCACATTGTCACCTGATTTGATGACTGCCCTTTTCCCTTCCTGGTGAAATGCCTGAAAGAGGCAGCTTTGTGGCTTCCTAGAGACTCCAAGGAATGAAATGGCAGCAGAGAGGAGTGCAGAAGTGGTGCTGTTATTACTGGGAGCCTCTTCAGAAGGTCAAACAATGGTGTCCTAGCAGCCTCTTGCTTTGCGATTGTGAAATATTTCTCCCAGTAAATATAGTAATTTTGTCCTAACTTTATGATACAGAACATACCCATCTAGTTCAGTCCCCAGTCTTGTTATCAATGGTTCACAATCAAGCTGCAAGAGATATTGAGAGAGGTCCCACAGGTATCTGTCCTGGATCCGGTTCTATTCAGTATCTTCATAAATGATTTGGTGAATGGCAGAGAGTGCACACTTATAAAGTTTGTGGAAGATACCAACTGGGAGAGGTTGCGAGCTTTTTTGAGGACAGGATTAGACTTCAAAATGATCTTGACAAACTGGAGAAGTGGTTAGAAATAAACAGGATGAAATTTAATAAAAACAAATGCAAAGTACTACGCTTCGGAAGAAATAATCAATTGCACAAATATAAAATGGGAAAGGACTGCTTAGGAAGGAGTACTCTCTGAGTATGCTTTTCCAACCAGTTGTGCACCCACCTTTTACTAGGTTTATCTAAGCTGTGTTTCCCTAGTGTGTTTATGAGAAGGTCATGTGTGACAGTATGAAAAGCTTTACTAAAGTCAAGTTACGTCACATCTACTGCTTTCCCTCCCCCCCCCCCTCCACAAGGCTTGTTACCCTGTCAAAGGAGGATATTAAGTGTGTCTGACATGATTTGTTCTTGACAAATCCATGTTGACTGTTATTTATTACCTTCTTTTCTTCTAGGTACTTACAAATTGATTGTTTGATTAGCTCCATTATCTTTCTGGGGACAGATGTTAAGATGACTTGTCTGTAATTCCTTGGATTGTCCTTATTCCACTTTTTACAGATAGTTACTATATTTGCCCTTTTTGAGCCCTCTGGGATCTCACCTGTCCTCCATGAGTTCTCAAGGATAATCACTAATGGCTCAGAGATCTCTTCAGCCAGTTCCTTAAGTATTCTAGGATGTATTTCATCAGGCCCTGGTCACTTGAGGACCTCTAACTTGTCTAAGTAATTTTAAATTTTTCTTTTCCTATTTTAGCCTCAGATCCTCGCCCATTTATACTGACGTTCATTGTGTTAGTTGTCCAAGCACTGCTAACTTTTCTGGTGATAACTAAAATGAAAAAGGCATTTAACACTTCAGCCATTGCTGTGTTTTCTGTTAGTGTATTTCCCTCCTCATTAAGTTAATGTGCCTGTTTTTGGTCTTCCTCTTGCTTCTAACACATTTGTAAAATGTTTTCTTGTTACTCTTCATGCCTCTAGCTAGTTTAATCTTGTTTTGTGCCTTGGCCTTTCTAATTTTGTCCCTATGTGCTTGTGTGTGGTTTTTTTTTATATTCATCCTTTGTAATTTGACTTAGTTTTTACTTTCTGCATGCTTTGTTTTGAGTTTCAGTATGTTGAAGATCTCCTGGTTAAGCCAGGGTGGTCTCTTACCATACATCCATCCTTTCCTATTCACTGGTATAGTTTGCTCTTGTACCCTTATAAGGTCTCTTTAAAAAAAACTGCCAGTTCTCCTGAACTCTGTGAGACTTGCTTCCCACAGGATCTTACCTACCAGTTCTGTGAGTTTTCTAAAGTCTGCCTTCTTGAAGTCCATTGTCATAAACTCTTGTTTCATTATCACTTTCACCCAAGCTGCACCCACCTTCAAATTCTCAATCAGTTCCTCTCTTAGACTCAAATCTAGAATAGCCTCTCCTCTAGTCACTTTCTCCACCATCTGTAATAAAAAGTTGTCTCCAGTGCATTCCAAGAACTTGTTGGATAATCTGTGCCCTGCTGCATTATTTTCTCAACAGGTGGTTGGGTAGTTGAAGTCCACCATCACTACCAAGTCTTGTGTTTTGGATAATATTATTAGTTGTTAAAAAAGAAAAGAAAAGAAAAAGGCTTATCCACCTATTCTTCCTGGTTTGGTGGTCTATAGTGGACACCTACCATAACATCACCCTTGTTTTTCTTACCCCTTTTATCCTTACCCAGAGATTTTCAACAGGTTTGCCTCTCACTTCTATCTCATCCTCAGTGCAAGTGCATACATCTTTAATATACAAGGCAACCCCTTCTCCATTTTTCCCCCTGCTTGTCCTTTCTGAACAAGCTTATCTTTCTATACCAACGGTCCAGTCATGTGAATTATCCCACCAAGTTTCTATGATGCCAGTTATGTTGTAACTGTGATTATTCACTTTTAGTTTCTAATAAAGTCTTCAGAGAGTAAGATGATTTTTTCACAAGCAGAATCCACTTCAGTTACCAACATCTATGTGCTTGCATGTCAACTTGTATTTTCTAAATCTTCCACCTAATTGTGCAACACCAACTGAAGCTTTGGTGGTGTGAGGCTCACTCTTCAAAGGTGGAATTTTTCTTCAGTGGAGTCTGAGAATCCATGTTCAACTTCTTTACCCCTTTCCAGTCAGGAAAGTAATGATCTATTTTAAGGCTGAGTGCCCAGATGGGTGAGAAACCAGCCAACTGGCTTTCATATCTAACCTAAATGGTCAGAGATTTCAGTTTGAAAATGTTGTCAGAGTGCTCCTGGCAAGTCTTGCCTGCTCTGGGAGAAGCTGCAGACCCAGTTCCTCATATGAACACAGCCTTTGAGATGAGTGAGGATGAGGCAGAAGAAAAGTGTTTGATCTCAGACATCATGGCAACAGGCTCCCAGATGGGAAGGCATTTGCCACAAAAAAAAAAAA